GTCTCTGCATCTAAAATGTCTGCTTTGCAGTCAGTTCACCACCCAGTTACCAACAGTAAAAAACTGCAATATGAAGCAAATTACAGATTTTCACCAGGAAAAAAAAAATCATTTTTAACTTGGACAGCATATATTTTTCAGTAACACTTGCTTTGGAAACAATGACAACTCTGAAGTAGTTAAACTTCTGAACAAAACCAAGGAATAATAACAGCTGCCCATGAACTAGATTAGCAAGGAAAGATGCCTTAGTGAACCCCATAGTGCAGCTTGCCTATCTTCTTTTTTACATTTTTACAGTATTTTCAAGAGCTGAAATTATGAATGTTACCAAGCAGTTGATATATTTTATTGTTAAAAAATACACATTTGCAATACTATTGTCCAGTGAGTCTCATGAAATAAGATTTTCTATTTTGTCTTGTTCTAAGATCTACAAATAGGATCCAACTACAAATTAACACTTTTCATCAGTACAAATAATGTGATCAAGACAGAAGTATAACAAGTGTGAAATAGTAAAGGATTTCTAAATTTCTGTAAAAGTAAAGGATTTCTAAAAGCCAATACCCAAAACTTTAAAAAGCTTTTTAATTACATTTCAATAGATTTGTCATATTTACTTGAAATAAACCTAGGACCCTAATGCTAGTTATCAGGCTCAGGTTGTAAAACCCCTTTTGATCCTCAATGTTATACTCACTGTCACACTATTAAAACAGACTTTCTTTTTGTAAAAAAGAGAATGGTGAGATGTCAATGCCTAGGATTCTGTCCTTATGGAGAGAGAACTCAAATACTAAACTGACTGTTATGAAGCTTTCCAGTGGAAAAGGGAGTATTTTCCCAGTAAAACTTAATTTAAAACAGTAATGGGTAGACATATTTTTGGCCAGGCACTAGCCTGGAAACAGAAAGTGAGGGTTGAACAAAATCAAACGTATTTATACTAATTTAGTCTAGAGGGAAAGGAATGCTTCCCTGTTCAGCAATTTCTCAATTCCCCTGCCAATTCTAACATCCCCTGATGTTTTCACATTGTTTATGGTGCTTTTCATTTGTGTCACCCAAAAACCACGCACAGGATCAAGTAGGTAAGTGACCGGAATTTAGTGGGATGCTAAAGAAGGTGAAAAGAGCAATGCAACAGCAAAGGCAGGACAGTGCAACTGGAATTACAAACAAAAAGGCAGGAATTATTCCATTCCTACCAAAACTACAACCAGGCTCCCCATGTTGGTCTCACAGATCTCACGAGAGCACACACCCCTACCCAGCATCAATCTTAGAGCAATTTAGAAGCTTCTTGTCATCAGAAATCTTCCTTAGCTGTTCTCAGACTGAAATGCGCCTTGCCTTCCATGATTTGCCTTTTCAGCAACATCATCAGACCTCTCCCTGCTTGTTTTCATCTAAGACCTACAGAAGACATGGATGCCACCAAAAAATTCTCATTAGAATCTTGATTGTCTCATTTCTTCAATAGAAATCTGTTCACGAGACCCTTTCAAGGAACACTAGAAATGTGAAGTTCAGTACAGGGAACAATATGAGAGGTGCACAGGGCCAGAGATAACTTCTGGTAGGTCTCAGTCAAAAGAGGTGGACTAGAACCAAAATCTCCCTGATTTAGTTTTCCTCTTGCCATGCACAGAAACATTTTCAAAAGGTTTTAGAAAAAAAAATAAAACCTAAATATACAGCAATTGTGAAAGCATGTGTTCAGTAATTTGGGGATAATTCATAATTACAACATTTTAAAGAAAAAAAGAAACCTCATGGTATCCACTAACAACAAAATTAGGCATTTTTACCTATTATTTATGATTAACATTTATACTGAATTTTAAAATGCCTTATAGCAGCATAAAGAAAATTAATGTTTTACAAGTGGGTTTGCCAATTATCACAAAATTAATCACAATTCTAGTCTGTGAGCTGAAAACATCATCCCTAAAGGGAGAACAAAGCTCAAAGAATGTGTCTACTTGCTTGTAACCTGAGGTCTGAAATGCCATATCTATTCCTACTCACAAGCACTTGCCAGGCTCAGTTCTGAAAGTGCAATTTTAAATAGATATGTTCACTTACACTTTCTCACATCTGCTCTTGTGTGCTGTACAACTCACAAATGTTTTTTGTAAGTGCAGCTATAAAATCTGGAAGCAGTTTATACCCATCTTACCCCCCACTAGCATTGTACAGTACAGCATATTTTTTGGAATTACACACTGTGATCATCACTGTTTATCTGCACAGCAGCCCTGCTAGAGCAGAATTGCACCCAGGAGCTCATGTGTGATGAGAATCCCAAGGAAGACAGTGTTTCATATGGAAGCACAGAGTCCATCACAAGAATCTCCAGCTTTGGTAACCTTTTCTCCCTATAGTGGCTTCTACATTCCCACTCTTAGGATGTTTTACCTTTGGTATTGATGTAAAAGACAAAAGCAATTAAAGTGCTGTTCTGCCAAATGAAGACTTAGACTCAGCCACCAGGCTGTAAAAATATGAATGTAATCTTACGTGGCCACTTTATGCACTTTATTCTTGACTGGAATGAGTCTGAGCAAGCTGTGTAAAATAAGTCCTCACCACTTGAAAAGGTCACAGGCAGCTGAGAACATGTGATTTTCTAGAACACAGGAGCTAACCCACCTGAATAATGTTTGGAATGGGCAGTTTTATCTCGTCCCTTCACACAAAGTAACAAGAAAGCCAGAATTTCTCTCTTATGAAAATGAACTAGGGCTCTAAGATGCAAATACAGATCTTCCCTATTTCTGCAGCACCTGAAGTACAGAGGTATGATCATCAGTAATGAGATCCTCTGATTATTTACATGAAAGATTTAAGATGAGAACATTGTACAACTTCATCTCTGTGAATTACTCCAAATAATCTTCATGAGCTTTTCTCATCAGTTTCAACAGCCTTCAATAACACTGAAAAATGAAATTAAAATGCAAAAGAGGATCTGTAGCCTTAATGAAGATATTAAATGCTAAAACCATGTAGGAACACTTTAAATGTGTCTTGCAAACAAATTTGTCATTAATCAAAGAACAGAATGCCTATTTTATTATCAGATAGACTTAAAAGGGAGGATTGACATTCTTAGTGTTGGTTTATGATGATCTGAGTGTTACAGTAGGTGAAATATACTTTAGCCAACTGTAGAGCATCTTTCATCTCAAAGTGTAAAATTTTCCATGAGATTTTAATTAGTATAATCTTGACTTCCATGAAGTAAGTGTTTCTGAAGAATATCCATATTACAGTCATGGACAACACTGCAGACACAAACTTATTACAGAGACCCTGAAGGAATTTCAGCAGTATCCAATGCAGTGCTTGCAACCAACATCCACCATGCACCTGCACCAGGTGCTGCACAGAAAGGGGCCTTTTCCTTGATCCATCAGCAAAAACTTCAGGGCAGCATACAGAATTGAGTCTTAAGTGGTTTGGGTGGCCAATGTTTACAAATTTAGTGTTTTTGTTTGGCTTTTGAAAGCGTGAATCACCTTGTATTTAAGAACACTTGAAATTTAATTTTATTGTGGCTCTGGAAAACATTGTAGCAGTGTTTACCTTAACAATACACTAGTGTATAATTATTACACATACTAGTTTATTTCTTTTTATTTTCAGCACAAAAAGCATCAAATAGGACGTACACAAAAGTTGCTTGCTTACCAGTGCAGGAAAAGCACTAAAAAATATTTTCTCTTTCCATACCAAACCCAAAATGTTCTGAAGTTCTGCAGCCTAATCCCCAGAAAGGTTTTGTTTCTAACAGTATGAAACAACTAATGAACCTCTGCTGTCATCCATTTGATCAGTGGCTGTATATTTTTAATCAGGTGAGAAAAAAACACTTTTTTTTCAAAACAGATTTGGACAGCAAGATGGACATCTGAAACAATAATACAAGCAATAGATAAACTTTCACATTCAGAGTTTTATATACTTCTTGTGCTGAAAATGAAAGCAAACAACCTAGTATATATAATAGTTATACACTGGTGTATTGTTAAGGTGAACACTAATATCAGCCTGGAATGACAAAGCTTCCTGAAGGCTAATTTGCAGTATAAGATTCTGTCTTTCCCTGGAGTCAGCAAACATTTCAGATACGGAACTGCTACTGATCCTTTCAGTATGAGAACAATGGCCTCCACTTTACCAGAATTCCAGTTATCAACAACAGACTCCCCTGAGATTAGTTCCCTTAACAGCAAAATGTGTGTGTCACAAAGGGTATGTAATCATCCTGAATACTCTTCCCACACCTTCTTTTGTTTTTTAAGTCTCCTTGTTTTGTCTAATAGTAGACAAAACAAGAAGAAACGGTAATTTGGAATAAAATTTGAATTACAGTCTTGCTGGCAGAATGTTAGATTTGTGACCTACCACTACAAGTTTTTTATGTCAGTTTTTAATGTTACTTGTATTGAGAGGTTTGCTGGAGTGAAGTTTGTAATAAAACAGTCTTATTCGGTTAAAAGTGTATAATCCAGGTTTTTGACTGATTATTGGACTACGTCTCTATAAAAATAGATGGCACCAAAATAACAACATTTGCAAGCCAGCCTTCTACAAAAAGGAACCAGACTAAAGATGCAGACTGTTTCCATTCTTTTCCAGCTGAAGGTCAGAAGAAATTGAAGTTGCTAAAATGTCAAGGCTCCTTTTCATTTCAGTGCCACTGAAACATTTGGAAACAATGGAGAGACAAGAAGAAAAGTGAGAAAGCCCTAACAGACAACACTTCCAGCAGAAGTATAATTCCAGCTGCACTCAGTTAAAGAGGAATATGAAACGCCTCTGCAGCCGAGAGCAGAATGTTTATTTTTTTAATCTGAAATTTTGTAAATTATATAATACACCTTTAAATTTTAACATGCAAATATTACTGTGTAAAAGTACCATAGGCAGATGGGTTTGGGTGTAGGGGTTTTTGATACAGTTAAGAACCAACACCAGCATGTTCTTACCTTTTTATCTTCTTTAGATTTCCTGATACTGTGCGGAGGGCCAAATTTGTTCTGAATGCAGAACATCTTCTTGGACCATTCACTTTTGTGAGATTTTAGCTGTGGCTGACCGAAGCTGCCCTCGACTCTGTATCTGTCAGCTGGAATCTTACTCATTGGAGGGGGAAGGGTCCCACAGTTCACACTGGACCAGCCATCTGTGGAGTCGGTGTACGACTCCTGGTCGCTGGCATTCCCATGCTGCCATTCCTGTAAAACGTGCACAGGCAGCCACCTCTGATTGCCCAGGCCTGCAGCGTTTTTCTTGGATGGGGGTACTGAATTTCGGGAGGAAACCAATGGAACTTCAATACGAGCAGAAGGGCTCAAGTGTTTGCTTACATTTTGGGACTTCTCATTCTGAATTACTTCTAAAGGGATGTTCCCCTCCTGCTCGTGACAGAAGCCATTCCAGTGGGAAGCAGGCTGATTTTGTCCCCTTCCTACTGGATTTTCCCATACGCTGCTAGGAATGTGTTTACTTGGATTGGTCCCTAAATCAACCACCAGAACTCTATTATTCTTTTCTTCTTGGTTGAAATTTCCAATCCCGCTATCACTGTTACTGCTCGTACTATTATTCTGATGGGCATCTGCATCGCCATCGAGGAAAGCCCTCGCACGCATTCCCTCTATCAGCTCCCCCATATCCCTATACAGGACAGAAATAAACTGCAGGACAGGTAGAGATGATGTTGGAAACTCCAGACAGCCATTTGTATCTGGATCCGCTGTACATTCCAGTCCAAAACGTCTTGCTATACCCTGGTGAATTTTATGATGAAATAATTCAGGATCCACCATAAAAACATGGCAAGATGTCCTCAGGACCCCTTCATCTTCATGAGCCAAGCTTGCATCATCATTTGTCTGCATTGTAACTAGTCCAAAAAATCTTCTATCATCTGGGCAAACAGCACTGAATGCCAGTTTCTCTGCAGGATATTCTGCCACAACACCTGATTTGTCACTGCAGAGCTGAATACAGTCATGCATTATCTTCATCATCACCAGGGAATGGATTTTTTGCTCTGCCCGCAGGCGTCTCATGCACCCACGAATGGCCTGCAAACTCTCTGTTTCCAAATTTGCAGTTGTTGAAGGAAGTTCGATGGAGCCTAAGTAACCTACAATCATGGCAACATTCAAAATACTTGCATCTAACCCAAAGTCTTCCGCACTCTCCAGTCCAACTCTAAAAACTGAATCATCATTCAGAACTTTGGCTATTTCTTCCTTTGACAGTAGGTTTGGATTGCTTGCACTTTCATTGCCAGTTTCAAATTTCATAGCAGCAGAAACTGAAAATGATCTTTGTTTTGATGCAGAATTATCCGAGTTACCGGCACAAAGAGCAGGATTCTCAAAGATCATGTTGAAAATGCCACCAGACTGCATTTCTTCGACAACTTTCTCTGCTCTGTTTATACCCAGAGCTTTAGAGTCAGGTTTGGGTTTCAGCCACCCCTTACCATCATAAAAACCAACTTCTTCATCACTTGAACATGAATCCATATGACTAATCCCTTCAGCAATGACCATGTGCAGAACTCCAGAACATTTCCCTATAAGTTTCACTACATCTTCATGTGAGGCTTTTTTCACATTGATTTCATTCACTGCAAATATCTGATCTCCTGCTTTAAGTCCAACATAATCTGCAGGGCTTCCTTTCATCACACAGCTAAGAACACAAGGAGCTTGTCCAGAAAGGGTAAAGCCATAACCTGCTCTTCCTCGAGCAACTTCCACGCTTCTTATCCGGGGAGGAGCGTGCATGTTGAGCCGACGTTTGACCGTTTCTCCTGGTCTGTACATTTTGGATTTTTTTTTTCCTAAAATAGGAAAACTTTTATTTAGTCCAGTTTTTTCTCATGTTTCAAGAGTATCACTCCGTCTGATGAAGATCTAAAGAAAGAAAAAAAGAAAGGACATTTTAATTCTTATCATATTTCAGGTTTTTTAGCACCAAGTATTCCTTTTACTGTTGAGAAAAAATCATTAGTGAATTCTACAAAAAAACTATTGCCAGAGATTTAACTAAACACTCAGAACAGTTTGAAAAGAACAGGTACCACAGTGTTAATTTTAGTGATAAGAAAGGAGTTGCAAATGTAAATAAAGTGGCTGTCCAAGATGACAACATGACAGAATGGCAAAGAACAAGATCCAAGTTTTTTTGATGTTCAGTCAGTGTTTTTTAAACTAAGCATGTTATGTCTTCCCCAATACCCCCACATCGCCTACTATTCAGTTACCTGCTGGCCTACTGCACTATTATACCACCACTACATTTTACAGCATAGAGAAAATCCTTATTTAAGCTCATACATCCTTTCCCAAAACAAAAATGAGAGCTCATGTTCATCTACTCAGCTACACCTCACCCCCTTTACACAGCGTACAGAAACAGGTACCACATGTAAAATGTAAAAGAGATTAATTACCCCTAGAGTAGCCTGTATCTCTCCACAGACTCTAAAGGCAGCTTAAAATAAGTATCTCAGACTTCAACTTCCTTACATACATTTATCTTACATATGCAAAGACAAGTGGGCATTCACTCATGTATCAGACCAAAGGGATCCAAGATCAGATTTACTGTTACACCCATCAATTAATCCACTCAAAACAATTTGTCAGATAGCAAACACTGTAAAAATGCATTTCAGACCATCATTCCAACATCCATGTGTTTTAGTTTAGCTTAAACATTCAAAAAAAGGGGAAAAAAAAGGAAAAAAAAAAAAAAGTTAAAAAGACACATGCTGCCAGCATTAATCTAGACATGACTTTACAATTAACATATAGCAGCTTTGTATGAACAGCAAGAAGTAGAATATTTCACTACATTTTGGTGTCAGCACTGAAGTCTGGATGTCTTTTTCTAAATACACTTGGGCAAATTCCATTGCTTTAGAGAGGTTTTCCCCACTAAGCAGGTTAAAATGCATGAAAATGACTAATACAAATAAAAGAAATGACAACTTGTTCAACTTTTGAAACTCCCCCCTTGTTGCACTACATGAACCCTCACTTCCATAGGTCTGGAGAATGACTGACAGAAAAACCCATGGGACTACAGCTGTATAACATTGCAATAAACACCATCTGAGCAAGTGAGAACTAATCTGACAATAATTACTCTGAGTTGGTCCACAGGCCTATTCTTCACTCAGACACATTGTAACATATTTAAAGTGTACAGGTACTTGAAAGCAAGTATCTTGCATATGTGGGCAAAATGCAGGCAACATTTTAGATAAATACATTCACATAAAGATATAAATATATATACAGACAGAGACAACACATTTCTTTATCATATCTAAAGTGCTAAATTAGTGGTGTCCCACTCACTACTTGCATGGACAAAAAATGACCAAGAAATCCTGCTGACATTGCTCTCAGCTCCAGAAACAATAAAAAACCCACACTCAGAATGTGATTAATTCCACGGCACGCTACTTTCACAGTATTTCTGCCTGGGTTAGAACAAACAAGGCAATTACTTCATAAGTTTTACCAATTAAAAACCAAACCAAAACTAAAATACAATTTAGAATGATAGCCTTAATTACTTATCTACATATGAGCTCCTTGATTACCAAATTTAAGAAACCACTGCTGTTTCTCAAATATTCTGCTAGATACTCAACTGAAGGATGTAATTCCCACAGGATCCTTCTAAACCCAAAACAGGACAGATTTCAAGATACCAGAAGAAATCCAGTTGGCCTTACTTTGGGGGTTTAGTTTTTTGGGGTTTTTTTTAACAAAGGGACATCAGGTTTTTATGTCTCCACGGTGCAGCTGTGAGTATTCAGTGTAGAATGATTTTTGCAAATTGTTTTAATGTAGCAATTATCCAGCTTCATTAATGATACTTTTCCTATAATTTGAGACAAAAAAAAACACCTACACCTTGGCTTTAAGAAGTAATAAAACCTCACACTTAACCTTTAAACAGAAATCATAACATAAGGAGTGCTTTGCAAACATTTAACCAAACTTAACTCTTACATTGCCATAAGAAAGCCCCATCAACTGGCATCCTGCCTCATATCTTACATGTTGTTTGACCCTTTTCTAATGGGGCTAAACTTGGGAATCAAGAGGTCACTGTGCATTCAGCTACCTCTAATTAGGTCTAGTACTTTTTGAGAATAATCATTAAATATTTCAACATATAGTTCCCAAAAAAAAAAAAAATAGAACTAACAAATGCCCAACAGTAAATAAAAACCTTCTATCTAGAAGCATGAATATATTCATGTTGTAATTTGCCTTCTAGTGAATATTTCTGTTTTCAGCTGTCTGGAGAATAGCCTAATGTGACCCCTGGGTACCCTCTGAATCTGTGCTGTTAACCTGGTTACTTTACCATAAAGCCCAATAGTATCAAACACCTAAAACTGTGCTACTAGCTTGCAAGAGAAAGGAAACAAGAGAGTATGAGAGTATAAACAATCTCCTTTTTAAAATATAATAAAAAGCAGTTGCTACTAAAAAACTTAAGATTCCGTATTGTAATGTTGAAGTGGCTGATAAGAAAAACAGGTTTTTTACAGCTATCTCTGTAATCTATAAAAAATATCCTAAATGCCACTATAAAAAACACACAATGAAAATGTAGTTAGGCTGCTCTTGGGAAGAGGAAACCCCAATGCTGTCTTACATCACAGTTCTGCATTTGCTAAGAGAGGTTTTCCTTTTAACTCTCTTCACAAGTCAATTTACCCACTTTCCTTCCTAACCTATGACCCTTACACATCAAGCATTTATTGTAGATGATAGCCACTGATAATGAAATGTCATTCCAAAACCTGACAATTATAAAAACAAAACAGGAGGCTGCTAACATGTTACTTTCCTCTAATAATGATGTTCCAGAGGTATGAAGACTTTCAGCTATTAATATATTTGTGAAATTTTGTAGGTGTAAAGTTAGGAACTAATTCAACATTAAAGGGTTTTTGCTATTGCTGTGTCTATACTCTAAAAAACCCAAAACAAAAAAAAAAAAAAAACAACCAAAGAAAAACTGTATTACTTCACTAGATACCTCTTCCCTCCCTCAGTACCTGAATATTACTGTGCAATCTTTATGCTAATTACACCCAGGGCAACCAGCTCATTAAATGTATCTAGGAAACTTCAAGACAAAGGACCAATATAACTCTTCTGCAAGAACTCTCAGCATCCGTGTTTTACTGCAATAATGGCATGACAGGCAAATAGAAAAATTATGAAATTAGTGTTTCCCCTAAGCAGAGATTAGTTGATTGTCAAACTGTTAACAGACTAGTTCAAAACTAAATTATCAATTTCTCTAATTGCTAACTTTTCTCCTAATTTCTTTGCAGACTTGAAACGTGGAGCTGAAGAGATAAGGGACAGAAGTGGAACAAACTTTCACAGTTCCAAAGCAATCATGTCTGAATATTCCTTTCCTGTAATAAATTATAAAACATATAACATATACAGTGAAACAAAAACACCAATTCACTTGCACTGATATAAAGCTTTGTAGCCTTATAACTACAAAATATTTCACAGAACATTTCAGGCATAAATACTTAATATGTATACATTAAGAGTTGTTCAAGTATGTGAAATAACATAATTTGTCTATACGTATCAGCTTTGACACAGAACTGCAAAATTAAACAAAACATTCAAGACTTCTGCCAGTATACAGTCTGGTCTACCATTTGAATCAATTATTTGTGGGGTATAAAACACCAAAAATACCAGTTACAGTTGAATTGTACTGTATCCCACAAACACTGCATTTCTGTATGGAATGCTGCTACATATCCATGCTAGCTTTTCAAGTCATTTTCAAATGCTCCAAAGAAAATAACATGTATTTGCTTACTTCCAAGGGAGAGAGGTGGTTTGTTTCCTGCTTCTGCTCTTATTATGCCATAGCAACAAAGAGAACAGAAACAGGAGGCACACTCCTGCTGCAGCCCATGTTAAACTGTAACTGAGCAGTCACAGAGGGCAGTGGGGGAGCCCCTGAAGATCAGGAGTACATGACTGACCACCACTACCTCCCAAAAAGCCTCTGGAAATGAGCTGGTGCTCAGCACTACAGGATCCATGTTAATGTGCAGAGACACTGTCTGGCTTCATTGTCTGGCTTTATTCTGTTTTTCTGTAGTGAGACTGTAAGAGAATAAAGTATGCAAAGTGGAAGTGCACAGAGGAGAGAGACTGTTCCTTCATCTCTCACACAGGTCTTGAAGTAATGCAAAAGACTCTTCAGCATGGGTGCCAGTTGTTGAGGCAGAACTGATGCCAAGTCCCTACAAAGCTCAAATGAAGCTGTCACATTTGAATTCCACTAACTATTCAAATGTGGTACATGTGTATAGACAAGTTACACAAGAAATGTAACAGCACAACCTGTAGAAGGCAGCTAGCAGTTGTTTGAGAACTTGGGCAGGACAATGTTTTAATAAAAAAAATCTCATTTCACAATTGCATTTCACAATTGGCAAGACAGACCATTATGTTTCTTTTAGGTGTACTTAGTGTGATCATTCAAAAAATACAGACTGTAGTTAGTAACAGCAGGCTAAAAAGTTAATAAAAACTCTTCTTCTGCTGAAGACAGCATACAAAGTGTAAGGAACACAAACAGGATATTTGCTGATTTGTCTGACAAGACTCATGTGAGCAAGGACACAGTTTCCTAAAGCTATTGTACAGACAGTCATGCGCCTACAATTCAGACTAATTTATTTGCTGTACTTAAGAAGGTGGAAAAGTTTTGTTCGCAGTTAGGCATTTATCCCCCCGTTCTTTTCTTCCAAATTCGTTCCAGAACTGCTGGGACGCCGTGCAGAGGGGCGGCACTTGGGGTGGCAGCAGCGACACCCGGGCGGGACGGGCTCGGGGACAGCCGTGAGGGCTCGGGACGCTCTGCGGGGCTCGGGGACAGCCGTGAGGGCTCGGGACGCTCTGCGGGGCAGGGGGGCCCGCCGGGCTCGCAGCAGCTCCGCACACCCGCTCGCACGGGCCCGCCGCCGCTGCCCCGCTCCCGGGGAGGCTCCGGCGCTGCCCTCAGCGGGTGCGGGGCCATCCCGCGGGGGGCGGCGGGCCCGGGACTGGAGCAGCGCCCGCGGGGTTACCCATTAACTGCCCGGCTCCCGGGGCAGCGCTTCCCGGGGGGTGGAGCTGCGGGGAGGGGAGAAGCGGCACCTGAGCCCGCAGGGACGATTTGAAAAATCAAGCGGTAAAAAACGGGAGGGCACGGAGCACCCGCGACCCCCCCGCGGGCGGACCCGCCGTCCCGTCCCGCGGGGGTCGCGGGCAGCGCCGCAGCCCGAGGGGCGCGCACAGGGGCGGCCGGGGCTCCCGTCTGCCCTCTGCCTCCCCTCGGCCCCCGCCGTCGTGCTCCCCTCCCCCCTCGTCCCCCCCTCCCGCCGTCCATCTGCCGTCCCCGCTCCTCCCGCCGCATCCCACCGGGGTCCCGGGGCGGGCGCTCGGCGGTGAGGGGGATGGGAGAGACGGGCGGGCTGCGGTGGGCGCTGCCCCGCGCTCGGACCCACTCACCTCTGTCCCCCGGGACTCCGGCTACTCCGCCGAGGCAGCGGCTGTCCCGGTCACCGGGGAGACGGCGCCGGGCTCGGCCGCACGGCGCTGCGACGACTGGCTGCCCGGCGCTGTCAGTCACCGCGCTCGCCCGGCGGGGTGGCGGTCGGGTTCCCGGACAGAGAAAGGGGAGAGACAATACCCCGCGCCAGAGGACTACAGCTCCCGGCGTGCTCTGCGAGCGGCCCGCTCGCTCCGGCCGTGGGGAGCTAGCCGCGCGGGGCATGACGGGGCGCGTAGTTCACAGGTCTCTCCCAGCCGCCTCGCCTCGCCCTGGGCTCCGGCGGGGCGGGCAGTGCGCAGGCGCGGGCTGGCGGCGGCCGTTCGAACGGGGCCGGGAGCGGGAGCCGGGCTCGGCCTCGCACCGCGGGCACGGCGGGTCCGGGACACAGAGCTGAGCCCGGGAGGGACTGACAGCCCGCGGCTGGGAGCGCAGGTGGGACAGGGAGGCGCTGGGAGCCGCCTCAGACAGGTGTGCCGCGCCTCTGAAGCGAGACAGAGCGCGCAAGGTGAAGGTGCGGGCGGGAGGAGCAGCGGGCGCTGCCTTCACCCGGGCAGCCTGAGGCGGCAGGGAGGCACTGCGGGTAATTAACACCAAGGGCAAAGCGTGTGTGCAGGGGGAGTTCTGCTGCCAGGGTGGAGCTGGGCACGGGCAGCAAGTGCCCAAAATACTCCGGGGACACCTCTTCACTTCAAAAGGTCGCCCTTATTTTAAATAGGAGAGATAGGAAGAGGGGGGAAAAAAGTTAACATGAGTTAAGAAATTCGTAAGGAATACAAGAGTCAGAAAAAGGGAAGAATTAACCAAATCTCTTTGGCTTTCCTACAGAACCTGAAAGGATTTTGTGTTCTTAGGAGAAGAATGTAATCTGTAATTGTTAACGTGTACTTACAGAAATCCTTTGCATGTGGGATATTTAATTTTATTTCTCTATGCACAGGAAACCTGGCACTGAACTTAGCAGGCACAAATTGAAGGAGAATTCTTACCTTCTTCTGGGGTAAGGTCTCCAGAGCAGGATACCTATCCCACAACTCACCGTTGCTGTCATCTCTGTAAGATAATACCTAAATTGTAATACTATGGCTTAATGGTTTAACTTTAGTCATTTGTCTAATTCTTATGCAGTCTACAAAATCTTAATAATTCCATCCTGAGCTGAAGTGCTTACAGGATACCAGAGTCTTCAGGAAAAACAAAAACACAGGGCAAAGGAAAAAGCTTTTTGGAAAAACAGAGGATCCTGCTCCTCTACTCTGGCCTTCACCTTCTCATTCTGCTGGTTTTTTTCTTTGTCAAACAATCCCAATGAGGTTTCTACCAATCTGATTCATTTCAGATCAACTTAGATCCCAGTTTTGCTATCTCTCTTATCCAGTTTTATGGGAAAAGCTTCTGAAAAGAAAAGATAACTGAATAAAATAAGTATTATGTCTTTTTCTCATCCTCACAGAAGACATCATGGCAGATCAGTGTAACAGATTTCTGAACTTCGTGAGATGTATTGTGTCTCATTAATTATTAAGTCCTTAGGGAGGCTAAAAATTCAAAACTCAAGGAAGAAAGTGGTTGATTTTAAACCTCACAGCTGATTCTTTCAGGCAAGGTACAGTAATTTAAAAAAAAATACTCCAGTGATTTAAGTTTGCCCAAAGAAGCTATAATTTATATTTTTGGCTAGGAAGATGTCACAGGTAAAGAACTGCCTTCCACAAATCCAAGGTGTTGGTTTGGTCGCCATCCCTTAACAGCCCAATTATTTCCAGCTGCTACAAGGGGTTGTCAAGACTTTATATCTTTTGCCACTGCTTCTCTTGCTGTGTTACCCCAACAGATCTAGGACTTGCACAATCTCCTTGCCTGCTGAATGGAAAATTGATCAATGTATTTCAGTCGGACCTTGTAAACATCTGTAAGTGAAGAAAATCTCATGGAAGTGACAAGTGGAATTGTAAGTATCCCACAGAGGTAACTGCAGGTCTCCCACTGCATCTTTATGGAGTTAATACACATGAATTATGTTTATTTTGTTTCGAAGAGGAGGAATGCTAAAAAGTGCCATCAGCTGCTAACTACAAACCAATTACTCCATGGCAGTGTCAGATTACCCCTTCCAAATATACTGAACCTGTTATATTTGTGATAATCAACAGAATTGCTTGCACTTTCTAATAGCACAGGAGCATGTCATTAGTCTGGCTTCACAGAAGATATTTTGTACTACAGCAGAATTTCCTATTTAAGTCATATTCAGGATGGAAGAAGTGAGAACTGAGGACTGACATGCCCACAGGTGTGCTCACATGCCCTACTTGCAGTCAGAAAATCCAACTCATCCAGACTGAATTTAGTGCTTTGCTTCAGTGCTTTTGGAAATGGTGATTAAGACTTCATGTTATAATCTGGAACAAGGTGATTAATGGCTCCTCAAAAATCCTCACAAGGTCTCAGCTGTAACTTACTGTTTTCACCACTGTTGGAGACAATAAAGGAAGAAAGAGTGTGAAACAAAGTGATAAGGATTTGTGGCTTTGGGGCTGGAAAAGCTTTGGCTTATGAGGCTAAGTAGCTTAATGTTGGGCATACAGACATCTCAATCACACCAAGGGTGGCTGTCACCAAACAGCTTGTCAGGCTTCATCTGGAGAGCTTTACAATGCATCCTGTAATAGAGTGAGATTATTGCTGTCACAAACACCAGATGAGAAGTCAGAAAATAAATATAGTCCAGCATCTGACGAAGCCTGTAGTTTTAATTACCATTGTTTAATTACTTTAAGGAAAGAAAATGCTGGTTGTTCCAAAAAGGTTTTTACAGGATACAGAAAAATCCTCACATAAATATCACTTTTATCATTTAATGTTTTCAATCTGTTTAAAATAATAAAATTGTACATGATTGTCAGTGTCAAGTGATTTTTTTAATTTACAAACATGATTCCAACTTTCCCAGCTTGATTTTGTTCTGAACAGCAGGGAAGACTGTGTGTCATATACAGTGTAGTTAGCTTGTGTTGGCCAGTTAATACACAGTTGGGAGCAAAGTCATTGTTAAAGAACTTATTCTTTAAATTCCAAAAGCTCTTCTGTTAACCAGCCCATTCAAAGGGCCAAATTTTGTATAAATGCATTTTGGTTTGGATGATGGTGTTTCCCATCCATGCATGCTGATGTACAGAAACCCTTACAAGGAGCTGTGAAGTAGTAGAAAAAAAAAGGGATGGATACTGATCCTGTTGAATCTTGACTGGCCAATAGAGGACATATCCTCCCAAATTCTATTTAATAAAAGAATTGATCCTTGTGCATCTACTTGGCTTTGTAATGGTGTCCTTACCTACTATGATAGTTAATTGAACATTAAAATATAGTTAAATAGATTTTGTGAGGAAAGGTTCTTTTGTGCATTTAAATATGAGAACAGTGCCACTTGCAAAAATGAAGGTTCAAATGGTAAACTGTCTGGAATCATTTTTTGTGTGTGAAAACAGGCACAGCCAGGCCTTGGTCCTGAGTGTGCCTTTGGAAAGTGCCACAATATAAATATAATTTTTTCATATCCTAAGAAAATTAATTCCCCTACAATAGAATGTGCTGTATTTATTTTTCCAAATTCACTAACAGAGTTTAAATGAAACATTTTGATGTAGTCAAAAACTGAAAACACAAAGTAGTACTCCCTGATGTCAGTTTTTCTTTCCTTAAGTATAGCTACATGTTGTTAAAGGTGATGTCATGTTAAACCTGCAGTGCTGATGAACAACCCTAAGGTATAGAACTAAAAAATCTGCTAAAATGTCTACTTCAAGGACACAATATTTATACACTTCTGTCTATTTAACTATTTAACATAATTCCTCTGACAAAAGACCCTGGCTCCAGGACAAACTATGCAGCATTAAAGTGAGGAGAAGGGATCCTCTGCTCTCAGCAGTTAACTCAAGAATCATTTTACCTTGCTCTAGTCAGTATGTGGCAAAGTCCAAGCATTTTTCTATTTCCTCATCCAAGCTTTTCACCTCCAAACTTTGGAGAGGACAGAAAGTCCTTTTGGACCAAGTTCAGTCTGTCTTTATGATACCTGCCAGAGACACAGCTCTGCTTGTGGCTCTGTCTTCTCCTGAAGTTCAGCTGGCAAGGCATGGCATGACTGCAGTGACATTGAGGTCCACCTTGGCAAAGATGGTTTTGGTACAAACAGCAGCCATTCCTAATAACACAGAATGACAGGATTCTGCCCTGCCTCTGAAATCTGCTTCAGCTCAGGCTGACTTCATCTTCCCCCACCTCATAATGAGATTCTGAATGTCTTTTAAATGAAATTAGAAGATACTTGCTCATTCCAGGTAAAAATCATCATGATTATTAGTATAACTTCAGCAATTAAAACTCATATAAAATGCACTGAGATACACTTACCTAAAAGAGGATAATTTTTTTTTGTGCTCCACCAAAACTGTGGTTTCATCTAAGAATAAACTTGCAGTTATTCTAAATGACCTTCTGAAATGAAAGTTCATTTGTTAAGAGTCATTTTGGCCTTGACAGCATGTGTGGAATTCTTCTGAGTACCTTCACCATTGCTTCTTAAGTTCCTCTCAGAACTAGGTTAAGGTCTTGCCTCCTATTAAAATTTAAGTTCCATGGTAAAAGTTGAATGTTGATGGATTATTTATTTCAGGCTGTGGCAGCCTATTTCCTTTTTCACCTTCTGAAGTCTACAACATCTGTGGTGACTTGCATGAACCAGGTGACCCAGGCAGTTCCTGCTGAAGTCCTGATGATTATGGCTTGTCTTCCATAAGCATTTTCACATTCTTTCTTTGATAACTGGCATCCCCCAAGTTATTGCCTAGTATAACATCCTAATTTCATCTGAAGTAGAAAACTAGCCTATGCTTTTTTTCATAAGATCGTAATCTTAATAGTGGACTTAACCTACATACCTTATACATCAAAAGTGTTTGGCTTTCATTTGGAGTGGGCAAGACAAGATCACAAGAATTTGCTGTTTCCAGCTAAGAGATTCAGAGGCACAGCTGTAGCTGGTTCCTGGTGTGTCGGCACAGGGCTGTCAGCTGAGATGCTGGTGCCCTTCT